CCCCCCCTAAACCTCCGCAGTCCCTGATCAAAGACCTGGAGGAGGCGGAGGAGCAGCACGCCCGGGCCCTGCGCAGCCACTTGCACAACATTGACCGCCTGTTGGAGCTCCAGCGCCGCCGCCTGAGGTGCCTGCAGGAGGGGTACGATGCCCAGCTGGAGGCCCTGCAGACAGAGTTTGAGGAAGAGAGGTAACCCAATTTTTTAAGCTAGGAACTGGGAGCTCGCTATCCTGCCCCCCGGTGCTGAGCCCTCTCACAGCCTGGCGAGAACCACCGTGGCATCCCTCTGTCAGCAGCTCCCTTGGGTTTTTCCTCAGGAGGCTCATCCTCGAGCAGCACGAGCGAGAAAGCTGCTGCCTGCAGGACATCATGCTGGCCACGGAGCAGAACTACACCAAAAAGGAGGAGGAGGTCACGATGAATTTCCAGAGTGCCCAGGCTGACATGAAAAACAAGGCACGGGCAGGGGGAGGGGTGGACAAGGAGCATTTTAGGGCTGATGTGGAGAGCACACGGTGAGGTTTGGGAGGTGGCAGGTCACCAGCAGCCCTGTCTGCCCCCAGAGCCTGTGGGACACGGAGTACAGCCGCCTGCAGCTGAGTGGGAAGGTGGAGGGGCTCTGGGAGCAGCTCCAGAGGGCCGTGCAGAGCTACACCGAGGCCACCGAGCACCAGAAGATCACTTTCGAGGTGCTGAAGCAGAAGGACAAGAAGAGCTCCAGGGAGATCAAGATGCAGATGAAGAAGCTGCAGAAGCTGCAGGTCGTGGGGGCAGCCGGGGGGGTGGGGGGAACAGAGACACCCCTCCCCTGGCTGCTCATGTTTCGCCCGTCCCCAGGACTTGGTGACAGCCACCAAGGGCCAACTCGTGGCTCACCGCCGGGAGAACGAGGAGAGGAACAGGCAGGCACGGGAGGAGAAGGAGAAGCTGATGAGGCAGCTCCAGGAGCTGGAGAGCAGCATGAGCCAGGCCAGGATGAAGGCCCGTGGTGACCTGGCCAAGCTCACCGTGCAGAGCAACGCCACCCTGAAGGCGCTGGTGAAAGTGGTGGAGAAGGTGAGGAT